AATATTTCGATTTATGACTCACCTACTAAATATGAAAGCGAATTCTATAGCCCTCTTAGCATCTGGAACCCTATATTAGAAAAAATATCTTTGGAGAATTTTGAATGGGAAAACATTGTACAGGCAAAATATAAAATAATGCTATTTAATTAATCGATAGAAAATACAAGGTTATTGGTCGTACTAGAAATCTTGATGCAAGTGCCTATACAAAAGCTGTTTAAAGTTAAATTGAATTGTTAATTATTGTGTTATACCAACCTAACCCTGTGTAGCATGTTATTTGACAAAGTTGAAAAGACGTGGTATGTGTATTATAATGTATTTAAACAAGAAAAACAATAAAATTTTGTTAAAAAAAAATTAATGATACAGAGGGGATACAAAAGGAAAATAGGGATTATATAATAAATTTTATATATCAAGTTTATTATACATTGCAGAATTTATAGAACAGAAAAAGTAAATATTTACTGGGCCTCGAGAGTCTGTTGTAAAGATACCAATGCTTTTATGGCTTCTTTTGATATTTTACTTCTTCAGGAGACTTGGTTAATAGACGAACCTATCTTTCCTGGTTATCTTACTCTCTATCAAAGAGTAGTTATAGGTCCGGGGGGGGGGGCAGACCACGGGGGGCTTAGCTTGTTTAATTTCAACTAGTTTGAGCCTTGTGACCTCCTGGTGGCAGATTATCTGATTATTGCTTTTCTATTAAAGTTGGATGACATGACATTTCCTCGGTTTACATTTCTTCATCCACTCCCAGTATAATGATTCAGTGATGGGATTGCCTGGGAAAAGTTGTTGATGACTTGCAGGCCCGTTTTCCAAGGGTCCCCTAATACTAGTGGGTGACTTTAATGCAAGGTTAGGCAATGACGATTATATATTTTTCTCTAAACTATTAGGCCCTGATAATGATGAACTTCTCAGCCCTGCTTAGCATAATAGAAAATCTAAGGATGATGTAATAAACAGAGGTGGTTCGGAGCTGGCTAAATTTGCAATTCAGAGAAACTTTATTCCATTGAATGATTATACAGAGGTTAATGGAACCAGTGATTTCACTTATGTGAGTCCCAAAGGAGCAGAATAATAGATTATATCCTGGCCCCTCTTGAATATCTCTCACACCTTGAGTTCCTAAAAGTTGGAGATTACATGGGAAGTGATCATCTCCCAGTCTTTCCCCCCCCCCATAGATTTATCTCTAGAACATTGTCTTATTCTGGAACACAGCTTCCCTCTTTCTCAACATCAAAATAAATCTGTCAATTACACTGGAGCTCCAACTCTAGTGACAAGGCTCGAATCATAATGGGTTCCATCCCTTGTAATACTTTTGTTAACAGGGTTTTGCAGTCTAATTCAGTGCTTAGCTATTTGCATAATTTGGATGAGGTATTAAAATTGTTCAGACGCCTTTACATGAAAAAGAACCTTGATAGAACACCCTCTGAAGTTAAGAGGAATAGATGGTTTGATAGTGACTGTAAAAGAATGAAAAGGTGTATTCAAAAGAAGCATAATGAGTTTAAAAGTAACTGTATAATATCAACTCTTCAAGAGCTGATGGTACTGAAGAAAACATACAGAGAACTAATTAAAACAAGGAGACCGATGGCCCTTAATAAGGAATGGGGATATCTCATTTCAGCTATTAATAACAACAATAATAAGGCCTTCTAGTCTATCATCAATACTGCTATGAACCCAACCTCTTAAAATTCCATACTGTATTGCCCCTCTGACATGGGGAAACTATTTCAAGAAGCTATTCTCTGATGCTAGTGCTAGTACCCCTACCACATCCTTTATTGTTATTCTTGATGTAGCAACATCTTGGTCTGAAGTATCAATTATGGCAGTCATTTGCCTTATCAAGGGATTAAAACTAGGAAAAGCCCCAGGCTCTGATCTAATCCCTAATGAGCAATTTAAGGATGATTGATATTGGTGGGCTACAGTTCCGGCTCCAATTTTCACTCAAAGTAACATCAGTGGACAAATACCCAATTCATGGAAACACTCTGTTATTTAAAAGGGATCCAGAAGCAGGGGTCATTTCGTAGAAAAAGAGCTAGGGGACTCATTAGCATAACTCATTAGCATATGCCACATCCCCTGACATCACCGGAAGTGTGTCCTCCCCACAGCCGGCGGCGACCTCCAGCGGGCACCAGCAGGGAGCTCCAGGCCCCACCCTCCCGCACCTCACCCGGGGGGATGGCGTCCCCCCACGTCCCCCCCAAATGACCCCTGTCCAGAAGTGATCTGTCCTGTTACCAATTTTTAAAAAGGAGTCCAGAAGTGATCCATCCTCTTATTGACTAATCAGCCTTATTTCTTCTTTAGGAAAGCTATACTTTGCTTATCTACTAAAGAAGCTCCTGGATTGGATGGAATCAGAAACCTTATTGGGATATTAGGCGGGGTTCTTTTACATGCAGCCACTATCTAGTTCTTTATCATCTGGCTGAGAAATACTCATCCTTTAAGGGGGGGCATCAATACTGACTTTTTATTGACCTCAAGGGGTCCTTCAATTCTATAAATTGCCCCAGATTGTGGAACAAACTTAATCAAACTACTGTGGGCAAAAGACTTCTAGGACTTATTCAACTATTATATTTGGGTTTGTCTGCTCAAGTACGATGTAGGTGTGATGGGAATTTAACAAATCCATTGAATTTGAAAAAGGGAGTAAGACAGGGATGCTTGCTGGCACTTTTTTGGTTTAATTTACATTTAAATGACATAGCAATAATCTTTAATGACTACCGCCATCCACCAAAATTAGCTGAGATTAGGGCACCTGTTTTACTTTAAGTGGATGATGCCGCGATCTTGTCCCAAACTAGGGTTGGGCTGCAAAGGGCCTTGCAATCCTTTTCTAATTATTGCTCTCGAGAAAGCCTGGTGATTAACTATTTGAAATCTAAGATCCTAGTTTTCACCAAGACCAGAAAATGGAGTCCATCTCAATGATCTATCAATGGGTCCAATACTGAGCAATCAAGGCCTTCTCCTATTTGGGGATTTTGTTTTTAGCAGATCTGTCTTGGACCCCTCAACTTAGAATAGCACTTAATAAAACTAAACTTTGTGCAAGTGCCATAAATAGGTTATTCCATAATAAGGGGAGGAGTATATTTCTGGAGCAGTGTAAATTTTTAATTTGGAAGTGGTTCCTCTCATCCTTTATGGCTCAGCTATTCGGAATAAAGCTAAGTCTAATAACATCGATCAACCCTTAGCCCAATTTTAAAGAAAAATACTGAATATTCCCTGCTGTGTGTCAAACATCGTATTGCGGGCAGAATTTGGACAGACTCCTGGAAGCCAGAGCATGGCTTTATACCTTTAAACTGAGATTTAAACAGCTCTGTGCTGAAGGTGCTGTTCTAAATCAAGATACCCACAAATAGATTTGGATGAAAGCCTGGATGAGAAATTGATGATAGTTGGAATGTCAATTAATTATATTTTTTGAGATGGGCAAATCCAAAGCATTTTCTCTAATCAAAAAGTGTGTCCTAGAAATCAATTATAGTAGTCTGATACTGAGGGCCCACAGAGTTTGCTCATCTTTTGGTCTTTCTTTCCCAAGATCTCCCCCCCCCCCCATATGTACTATCTTACTAACCCATGTTACCGTAGAACTCTTTTGTTGGCAAGATTGAATATTATACCTACAATGATTTTACAGTGGGCATTTTTGAATAGGCCCTACTCTGAGAGAATCTGCCCTTGTAGCCTGAATAAGATAGATATCCATCCATGTCCTGCTTGAATGCAGGTTCTTTGAGAAAAAAAGGGATCATTATATTAAGCCTTTAATCAGCCAACCATCCCCCTACACTTTGGTAACCCTGGCTCTTTTGCTCAGTAGTAAGGACCCTAAGTTTACTCTAGTAACTGCAAAATTTGTCTCAGTGCTTTTAGCCCTTCCATAAAAAAGAAGCAAGTATCTTTTGCTGCTCCTGTGAATCAATGAGCTTCTAAGGGTATAAAAGGAAAGGAAATAGGTTTTGCTGCACAATCAGCAAGTTTATTTTCCCATTCTTCTAAGCTTGGACAGATGTCTGGTTTCCATTTTGCTGTACAGATGATTCTGTCCACTGTCACCATATATTTGAACATCCAAAACTTTTGGTAATTTGTTGGGCAATATTCTAATAGCATGTTCTTAGCTTCCATCATCTGTCTGTTCTTGAACACTTTATTAGCTAAGAAAGCTGATGAGTCCTCATTAATGGTCTAACTGTCCTACTGGAGTTGGTCTGAATCTTTCTTTTTAGTAAGTGAATAATGATAAGATCAGGATGGGTGTCCCTCTCATTCTTCCCCCATTCTTCCATTCTCTGCTTTTATATTGCAAGTGTTTGGAATAGCAAATTCTGGGGTCCTCATGACTGAAGTTAAAGGGAAAGCCTCAGTATGAGGGCTTGGTGGCAACAGTACTCTTCGAGCAAATAATAACTCTGATATTTACAGGGGAGTTGTTAGAGTGTATATATTTATATAGATGCGGTGTGTACTTATTTTTCAATTCAATTAACAAAATAAGAAGAAGAAAAAACATTACCAGGAGACTGGGCAAATACTATAATGGTATTTGGGCAGCATAAATATGGCCAGTTGTGGTTTCCACTTTTCTTTGGAAAAAATTAGGGCCCAGACTGTAAAATTAAAAAGCTTAGCCTCTAAATATTTATTTAATTACTAAAATGAAGAAATGAAGTTCCCGAAGTGTTTTGCCAAAATTTGGGGACCCATATGTTATTATCAGGGGTTTAAAAAACATATTTATTACATAAAAGTTACTCCAGGATCTGTGGTAGCAGAAATATAGTGGTGTTGATAGTGCACGCATAATTAACAACTTTAAATAAAATGACCAACATAGATTATGACACAGAATAGAAATTACTCAAATTTCATGAAGGCTTTTACATTCACAAAGTATTCTAACAATATTTATTTTATTATTACAGGTAAGCACGTTAGATTGGGTACGAGCTGAAAAAATATATAACCTCTGTGAGGTTTTATTTAAAGTTCACAAGGTAGGTCACCAGTAAGTTACAGAGTATATGGTTTTAGCACGAAAGTTTGTTTCTCTATAATTGAAACAGAATTAATGGTACATTTAGATTAACCTCACTGAACAAAACATTAGTGTCACTTCTTAACAGTGAACTGTTACAATTATGTGTATAGATAGTGGATTGCCCCCCCCCCCAGTTGGAATAATGAGACAGACAGCAGTTTGGAAGTAAACAAGGGCCACTTTATTAACTATTGAACATAACATTGTGGCAAGGGACCAGCTAAGCGAGCACAGAACAGGCAAGGCAGGTGTCATTTCCCTGACCAACCTCCTTGCCCTTTTCTCGGGTGGGTCACCCGGCTCTGGCCTTGAGCCATCGATCTGGCTCATGACCGGCAGCCCAGCAAACTGGTTGCCACCTAGGAGTGCCTACCCCTGAAGCCTGACAACTTGCAGGGAGGAGCATACCCTAAGAGGTTCCCAGAGGAGGTGATCACCATTCCCCACCCTGGCCCTGAAAATCTGAAGGCAGTTCCTGATGACCCCCTGTTCCCTAATGGGGAAAACACCGTAAGGTACTCACCAGTTCCAGTTTCTTGCCCGCACCAGCCTGCCAAGTGACAAACCTACTTAACTGCTGACCACCACATTCATCACTTCAATCCACTGCTCTCAGTGCAAGGTAGGCGAAAACACCTCCACCCAATCTGCCAATTCCGGGTAAAAGTGAAACATTTCTACCTGGCCCCAGTAGGTGACCAGCAAAAGCCTGCACTAAAACAGGGCGGGAGGGTGGATGAACACGAGCCAGTGACTGTCTTTGGGTGGGAGTGGAGCCTGGCAATTTAGCTGAGCCAGCTCCGCCTACCCCGCCCATGTCATGACGCCGTGCGTCATGATTCTGTTGCTGCCCCGGCTCCTCCAGGGCAGCAAAACAGCCCCCGGACTTCATCGGCTTTGCCGGGAGGCCAGGAACTCCCATTATCATCTGGCTTAAACTGTCCCAGTTTGGTGATACTCTCCCCAGCTGATCTCCAACATGTGGTTGGAAAGTGAGATCAAGCACTTCTGCCTCCTCAGCCTGGTGATCTTCTCCATAGCTAAGTAGTAAAATATTTACATTTCATGCAGAATATTCTACTTCAGTCTCAGGTATCTTCAGTGAAAAGAATCTCAAGTAACAGGACTGAGAAAGATCCTGATTGAGACTCTACATCAGTGACGCAGAATAGGCACAGTAGCTAATACTGGGATATATGGAAAATTTCGCGACACAATATAAAGCAGTATCATATGTTCATACATCCATGCATAGGCATAATATTTGGGAGGAATGCATAAGCATATAAAATCCAATATTCATAGTACTACACAGCACAACTGTGCACATAAGCCTACATACACACATGTACCATGCAGTGGCTCAAGTGGTTAAGACGCTGAACTGCAGGCTGTGGAAGGTCAGTAGTTCAGCAGTTCGAGACCCGAGTTGCCAGATGACGGAGTGAGCTCTCGTCTCTAGTTCCAGCTCCTGCCAACCTAGCAGTTTGAAAGCAAGAAATTGCAAGTAGATAAATTGGTACCACTTTGGTGGGAAGGTAACAGCGTTCCGTGCGCCTTGGTGTTTAGTCATGCCGGTCACATGTCCACGGAAATGTCTTCGGACAGCGCTGACTCTTCGGCTTTGAAACGGAGATGAGCACTGCAACCCTAGAATCAGATTCGACTGGCTTTCGAGCAAGGGAACCTTTACCTTTACCGTATGGAAACATTAAAGTCATGTGATGATTTCTGGTGATACCAGAAGCAGGACAAGCATGCTGGGTGGCTGGGGGGGTAAACACACTTTATTGGTGTCATTCCGGTCTCAGCCAAAGCCATATGTCCACCACATCCCCTTTACCACATGACCTACATGTCATAAATTGTGGGGGGGGAATCTGATAATTGCCCTTTGTGTAGTATTTGTATTTCCCATTTTCAGTCACTTTAAATATTATGGACATCCGTCAGTAGGCACTGAAAGTCTAGCTAATTGCATCCTTTTTGAAATGTGGGTGTTCTTTCCCCTTATTTGTTTGGTATCATTGTTGTATTGGCACTCAGTTTCTCTCTTAATATTCTGGCAAAGATTAATCTCAAGAATAAGCCATTCTTAAACCATATTCCATGGCTACATTTTCATTTTGAGGGGAGAAAAACAATTGGGGGGAGATGCCCAAGACTCAGCCCTTTATGTTTTTGACTTTTAAATAAATGAATACTTAATTGCCAGTCCTGATGAATACATTGACTGAAACACAAAAGCTTAAATGTATGACTCTAGCCTCTGTTCTGTTGACATTTTGGTATAAATGATAATGAAGAAAATGCAAAGCAAATCAATTAAGTTGGAGTAAACTTAATTTGAGGAAGAGATTAAATCTTCTCCATTACCAATTCTAAGACTCAGTTTGCCCTCAGAAAATGTTCCTGAGACATTTTTATAAATCCGTTTCTCTTAGCAGACTTTATTATGACATAACAAAGAAAAAACACATTTTACATTTTATAAAATCTACAGACCGGGTACATTTTTTAAATTCACTGTCCCAGTCCACAGATACTTGAGCATAACAGAATTGCTCCCTAACTTGTTTTCACTGCAGTGTTGGAGGGAATTTTTAGGATAGGGTTATTAGAGCTGATCTTTTCACGGAACAGAATTAGGTGGTTGAGTGATGAGGTGGTAGAGTATATTTTTCCTATTCAAACTTTAGGTAGTGAAATAGATTTTAAGTACTCCCTGCATTTTTAAAAAAACCTTGTCTATAATTAGAAAATGAGCATAGAAGGAAAAAACCAGACTAGAAGAACCTTTCTCCCCACAATGCTCATTTGTTTAATTAAAAGGGAATTTTTAAAACAAGGGTGAACATTCAGAACAGAACCTTCCCACTTATAGGTTGAAGTAATCATCAGCTCAACAACCTCAGGATTCTACCACATCATTTGCACTATATCTGGCGGCATGTATGCACCCCACCTGAGTCAGTCATGCATATATTCAATACTATAGCCATTTAGACCATGTTGTAACCATGTAACTGAACTGAAAGGACACTTTGCATTGTTTAAACATTTTTCCAGGTCTTATCTCTGCCCATAACCAATCAATATGTAATTTAAACATTTGTATCACATTGGTTCATCTTTTTTTTCCCACCCAGAGAATTATTGCAGGTCAAGGCCTTGCACAATATTTATTCTACAGCTTTAATCTTTCCCGTTATTCCATCAAGTTTCTTACAGTAGCTAGCAATAAATTAAAACTCATATAAAATACAATCTAAACAAACATGAACCCCCTAACCCTCCTACATATATCTCAAATAAGTAAAGCCAACCCAGTAACGTAACTGTGATAAGCACCCTATCAAACAAATCCATCAGGAAGCCCTCCCCCCCTTTAATGAACTCAGCAAACTAGCCAGATGTCTTGTCTACATACACACCATTTAGAGATAAGAACAGAAGAAGAGCCAAACTGCATCAGACCAAAGCCCATTAAGTCCAACATTCTCTTCACACAGTGGCCAACCAGCTACATCTACAAAGTCTACAAACAGGAAGACTACAACAGGATTATTCTGCCGGTGCTCCCCAGCAACTGATTTAAAGAGGCATAATACCTCTGGTACTGGAGGGAGCAGATATCCTTTATGGTTAGTAGTTGTTGATAGCCTGGTATTCCATGAATTTGTCCACTCCCCCATTTAAAACCTTCCAGGTTGGCAGCCATGACCCCATCCTGTGACAGCAAGTTCCACAAATTAATTATGTGTACAAAAATACTTCCTTTTGTCTGCCCTGAATCCAGGGCTGTGTGGGGCATACAAGGTAATTCCCCTTCCTGATTTCCAGTGCCCCCCACTGAATCCTAGAGCCCATCCTGGGAAAGAGGCAGCGGGCCAAGCAGGCAGGGCAGGGGTGCAGTGTTGAAGGGGGGGCTTTCAGAGGCACAGCAGCTGTGAGGCAGAGTAGAGCTTGATGGGGTGTTCCAGGCTCATGGCACATCTGGCATTGGAGGCATTGTTCTTGGGCTTCCCCAGGGCCTGGTGTCTGAAGAACAGGTGCGCAGGTCTCTCTGGCCTCTCCTTCTCCTCCTCTCTGGCTGGCAGGTTGGTGGCACCTCACTTGGATGGGGAGGAGGGAAAAACAGGCACCCTGATGTGGGTTTCTTGGCACAGCTGGCAGCTGTAAGGTCTGGCCAGTGAGTTCCCTAAAGTAGGATCAGGATTTATGAACACATGAAGCTGTCTTCTGCCCCTCACCACCACTGCTCTTCCAGGCTAGCTGGCTGCTGGTGAAGCAAGGGCGTGGGGAGGCTGGCAGGCTGGGGGGGGGGCTCTTCTCTGGTCTCCCTGGCCAGGCTTTTTCCCTTCAGACCGCCACCTTTCCTCAGGTTGCCCCTCAGAGTTTTTATTTTAATTTTATTATTTTGTGATATCACAAGTGATGCCATGCCCCCCAGTGCTCCCCCATGAAAATCATCTAGCTATGGGGCTGCCTGAATTTCCTACACTTCAGATTCAGTGGATGACCCTGGGTTCTAACATTATGGGAGAGTGAGAAAAGCTTCTGTCTGTCCACTCTCTCCAAGCCATGCATAATTTTATGAACACCTATCATTTCTCCCCTTACTCACCTCTTTCTAGGCTCAATAGTCCTAAGGGTTTGAATCGATCCCCACAGAGCAGCTGCTATAGCCCCCTGATCATTTTGGCTGCTCTTTTCTGTACATTTTCAAGCTCTACAATAACTTTTTCAAATGACGAGAACTGACCACAATATTCCAAGTATGGTCTCACCAAGGATTTGTATAAGGGCAGTTTTATTGTTGCAGTTTTATTTTCTATTTCTATTCTAATGATGGCCAGCATGGAATTTCTCTTCCCCCCCCCCCGCTTTTTTCCACAGCAGCCACACACTATGTCACTATTTTCATTGAGCTATCCACTACCACCCCAAGGTCTTGGTCTGCCGCTGCCAGTTCAGATCCCTTCAGTGTTTATGGGAAACTGGGATTATCATGTTGAATCTCATTTGCCATTTTAATGCCCATTCCCCCAGTTCAAAGAGATCCTTTTGGAGCTTCTTGCAATCTGTTTTTGTCTTAACTGCTCTAAATAATTTGGTGTGATCTGGAATTTGGCCACCTCACTACTTCCAAGTCATTTGTGTACACTCGAAAAGTACCTGTTCCAATACAGATCACTGAGGGACCCAGCTGCTCACGTCCCCTCATTCCAAGAACTGACCATTTATTCCTACTCTCTGCTTCCTGTTTTTAGCCAGTTTCCAGTCCATAAGAGGATTTGTCCTCTTATCCCATGACTCTGAAATTTACTCAGGAGTCTTTGGTAAAGGACTTTGTCAAAAAGCCTTCTGGAAATCCAAATAAGTAATGTCTACAGGCTCATTCCTGTCCACATGTTTATTGACACTTCCAAAGAATTCTAAGGTTAGTGAGACAGGAGTTACCTTTGCAGAAACCATGCTGGGTTTTATTCAGCAGGGCTCTAGGATGGATACCATCTGGTTGTGGTGATTTGTTAGTTTGCAATTTGTCTGTAAGCTCTATAACTCCATTCCTTGTCACCACTATTTGCCTAAGCTTCATATCCTCCCCTCCTGAAAACATCCATGCAGGAACAAATATTTTCTCTCTGATTTCATTTTCCGTCTCAAGATCACCCTGAGCATTTTGGTCCATGAGGTCATGAAGAGTTGGACTTGACTGTGTGACTGAACAACAACGAGTACTAAATTACTTTTGGGACCTGGAATTGTCACCCACAGCAATTTTGTGGAGGAACTGGCCCTTTTTGTTTTCTGGCTTCCTAGGGCCCCAAAAGTAATTTAGTGATGGGGATGTGCTATCAGGTCCCTCACCATAATACTCAGAATAAGTTAGGCAGAGAGACTGGTTCCCTTCAGAACCTGCTGCCTTAATTTCCAGTACATAATGACTCAGGCCCCTTTCAAAAAGCCTTTGTAATCTGTTTTAGTATCCTATTGCTAACAGATTTTTTGGTGTCATTTCATACACAACTGTTTCAGCAACCCACTGCCAATGAATTTTATTTACCTTTTCATACAAAGCTCCTTGTGTCCAGTTAGCAAAGCGGGGTTGAGCCGTTTTGAGTTAAACTGCTTCCTTCCATTTTCAACTTTTCTTTGTGCTTCTGAGTCACTGTTTAAAATGTCTGCAGCGCTTCCAATAGTGCTGCTTTTTCCCCCTGCCCTTTTTTGCCACATGGTCTTTCTTGGACTTTTTGGGAGAGGTCTAGTGCTGTAGTGGGACCAATGAGATACCTTGCAGCTATTTTGGTCTAGCACAATAACGCTAAACTTAGAATGATCCCCCCAAAAAAAGTCTGAGAAAGATTGTGGTGCAAAAACAGGTGGGATTGAAGGGGTGCTGTTTGAAATGGCCAGAGCACTTCGTTAATGGAATGAAATCCACTGTATGAAACTCCCATCCCTGTATTACTTTACTTGAAACTGGGCCAACAATGGGTAACATCCAGTTTAGAACAGTAATGTGAAAGTGGCCCACGTAAGCCAATATTGTATGTTTAAAAGCATTAAGTTAATACTAGAGGTGTGCAATTTTTTTTCTCTTGGAATTTTTCAGTTCGGTTTTATTAGACTTGAAAAAAGCATTGGGATTGCTGGGGGGAAAACCCAGATTCCAATCCCAGTAAAGTATTTGGATCTTAGATTTGTCAGAAATCCCAATTTTTTGATGTACAATTGACCCATACCAAAAAACAGCAAGAAGAAAAAAGCAGCAGCAAAGCCACTAAAAACAGCTGAGAGGCAGCTCAACTGGGGCTCTTTGGGGCAGTTCCTTTAAACCGGACTGCTCAAAAGAGCTCACCAAGCAGCTGATCTTGTGAGAACTTACCCTGCAAGCTTGACTGGGGCACTGCTGGGCAGCCAGGTTTAGATCAGACTGCCCAAAAGTGCCCACCCAGAAGCCCATCCTGTGGGGAGTGTTCTCCTTGCAGTATCTGCTGGGGCTCTGCTGGGCAGCCCAGTTTGAACAGGACTGCCCAACAGAGCCCACCCTGAAGCCCATCCTGCATGGAGAGTTTTCCCCACAGGCTTAGTTGGGGCTCTGCTGGGCTACCCAGTTTTGGCAGTAATTCCTGACTATAATCCAGGATTTGGGGGAGAATTTTTTTCTGGTTCTCCTGAAAAATCCCAGATATATTTCAGAAGCTGAAATAAATCCAGAAAAATAACAATAAATTGTTTTTCATCTATATTTTAAGTCCGGGTAGACCAGAATGCACACCCCTATTTAATACTATAAGCTCATAAGTAAAAATACTGCTTGTTTGATTTACTAGTCTGATGTTCAGGATTTTTAAAAGGGATACCTTTATTAAAATATATCAACACTAGGAATAAGGTTCCCCAGGAGAAAATGGCTGGTTTGTAGGGTGGAGTCTATGGCATTGTCCCTGTCTGAGGGCCAACCCCTCCTCAAACTCCACCCTCTCCAAGCTTCACCCCTCAAATATCCAGGAATTTCCCAACCTGGAGTTGGCAACCCCACCTCCTTCCCAGCTAACCATCAACTTACTGTTATCTGCCCTTCTGACTGCAGCTGACTTCTGCCCTCCCTCCTGGAGAGCAGTTGTGAGTCTGAGTGATCTCTAGCCCCCACCTGGAGGTTGGCAACTGTGGTTCCTCAGGAGGAAATGGCTGCTTTGGAGAGTGAAGTCTATGCCATTGTACCTGTCTGAGGTCCACCCCTCAAAACTCCAGGAATTTCCCAACCTGGAGTTGGCAACTCTGTCTCCTTCCCAGCCAACTATCAACCTGCCATTATCTTCCCCTCTGATTTCAGATTTCTATCTCCTCCTCCCACCCTCCTGGAAAGCAGTTGTAATTCTGAGCAATCTCCAGCCTCGCCTGGAGATTGGCAACAACAGTTCCCCAGGAGGGCATGGCTGTTTTGGAGGGTGGAATCTATGGCACTATACCTGTCTGAGGTCCCACCCCTCCTCAACCCTCACCCTCTCCAGGCTCCATCCCTCAAATCTCCCAACCTGGAGCTGACAACCCTAGTCGGGACTGGCTCCAATAAGGTCCCCACAAAGGCCTGGAAAGGGCTTCATTCCTTTGTCTTTTTACTGACAGAACCAAGCTTGGTTGCCTAGCAACAGCCACTGAGGGAAAAGTTATTCACACAGGAGCCAAGCAGGAGAAGTGTCTTCATCAGAAGAGACAGCCGTTTGGTGGTTATTCTCAGTGGCTGAGGTGGAAGTGGGCGGGGAAGAGGAGCAGACTCAGAACCCAGCCAATGGCACACTAGTACTCTTGAGTGGCATTTGATGTGCCAATGGTTGACAGAGCGCACTCCACAGCCAATGGGAGAGCTGGAAATGGCCAATACGTAAGGAAATTATTATTAAAGATGAGAGTAGTGTTTGTTGAAAGCAGCAACATAAATTCAGATATACAAATGCAGCTATCTTGTGGTTATTGTTATGAGTAATAATATAATTTAAACTTTGCATTTTATTCACGTGCCTCCGTTTGAAATGGTATTTATCACAACCTTTGTCTTTGTGGCTTCCATTTACTCGATGGTGCACTTAGGCCAGGAAATATATATCTTGCTTGGCACTGTTCTGACATCCTGACTTACTTCACTCTGTATGCAGTAGTGCATACACTAGGGTTGCCAGCCCATCTGGTGGAGGCGGGGGTCCTCTGCCACCAGGCCCTGCCCCCCCACCTATCAGCTGGCCAGTGGAGGGGCATACCAGGAGAAAGAGGAAGGCCCATGTGACATTGCCAGTGATGTGGTGACATCATCATGCTGGAAGTGATGCTGGCAACATCCAAGCAATGCTCTAGTATTTGGGCAAAAAAACTATGGCATAATCCATTTTACCAGAGTTTTTGCTTAAATACCAGAATGACATTGCAGCGTGATGATGCCACTTCCAGTGCACACCAGAAGTGACATAGCTATGTTGCCGGTGACATTGTCTGGCAATGTCCTGCTCCTAGTAAGTCCCCCCCCATCCCCTGCCAGTTGTCAGAAGGGACCTTGCAACCCTAGCACGCACTGAGCTTCTGTACGCGTAAACATTTTCATTCACTTCAGTGGAGTGGGAAGATTTGGGAAATGATCTCCAAAGATTATTTTATAATGTATTTAAATAATGGTTGTAAATCATTTTACCTTAGTTTGGGAATGGTTTAAATAAATACATTGTAGACAGAATAGCTCTATGTTCACAGGAGAACTTCCATACTTAGAATTAATTGTTGGTCAAGGATCATACCCATGGTAGGAGTTTGATCTCATGTCTCCTGAGTACATGGTAATTTGCGTCCATATTTTCTGCTTTCTGAGGATTCTGTTTTTGGAGCAGAGAACGTGTGCTCACACCATTTCCACCTCATTTAACGTACATGTATTCACTCTGAATGCAGAAAAGAGAGCCACATGAATACAGAATGAAGAAAGAGAAATAAAAGTGAAATAAAATTTATTTTCTCAATCCAACATCTTTTTTTCTTCCCTTCCTTGTCTTCACCTGAGCCAGTTCACACTTTAAATTAAGACATTTATGGATTGATTAATTAAAAGAAATTATTAATGAAATTATTTAGTCAGATGATAGCTTTAATAAATACATTCAAAGCAACTATTCTTTTCTCAGTATTCATTTTGAATGAAGTATCACCTTCTAAAATGTGTCTTTCAGCTCTGGCTTAATGATGATTGCTGGCTACAAGCAAACTTGTATTTAGGTATTCACCAAGACTATGAACTTGAAGACCAGAGGCCATATTGCTTCAGTGTTGTAGTTGGTCATGGCAAGAGTCATTACTTCAATGTCGAACTGGGAAGTGATCTGGGAGTATGGGAGAAATCATTTCAAAGAGCCATTTTTTTGGAAGTTCAGAAAACAGGGGTAAGTAGTAGAAAGAAAATGTAGCTTTCAAATGCACTCTGAATATATCTCATATTGCAAGTTCCTATGAGCAGTGTTCCCTCTAAGCTGAGTTAGTGTGAGCTAGCTCAGTTTTTTAGCCTCCAGATCACACATTTTTGTCTTAGCTCAGGAAGGCTGGTTCCAGAGCAAACTAATTTATGCAGTAGCCAAAATAGTTCATTGACAACTTTAATGCCAGTAGCTCACAAAGTAGAGTTTTTGCTCACAAGGCTCCACAGCTTAGAGGGAGCATTGCCTATAAGCATAATTTTTTTTAAAGACTGGAACAATCATTAGGCTATTGAAAAGCATGCGCAAACTAAATTCTGAGAGTACATGGCTGTTCTTCAAGCTCCCAAAAATTGACAGAGAAATTTATTGTCATGCTAAGAAAAGTAAGAAAAATTCTTATAAAATTCAGCACTACTTCTTGTTTTTATTCATTTTAATAGCATTTTCCAAACAATAAGATCATAAGAGCTCTTCTGAATCAGACCAGTTATTATTAAAGTGTACAGAGAAAACAGGAAACAAAGAAACCCAGCAAGAGAACATATGAACATGAGCTTGCTGAGAGCATAAACAAAGATCAATCTAGTTCTGCATTCTGGTTCCAAAAACAGAAGTCATCAGAATTTCTCCCATGATTTTGGAGTTCTAAATTACCCTGTCTTGTTTCTAAAGTCCATTTGATGCGTTTCAAATTCTCCATTCTTCTTTTATTTTCCGTTTTTGTGCAGCACATTGTGTATGTGTGTTTTATGGCATCTTGCAGTTTCCCTCGTCTATTTAATTTTTTTTTTTTTGCTTCATTTATTCCTTGCCTTGGGACATCCTTCTCCTCTCCTCCATGTTATCCTCACAACAACCCTGAGAAGTAGGTTAAGTTCAGACAAAGTGAGCAATACGAGGTCGTCCAGTGAGTTCCCCATGGTAGAGTGGGGATTTGAGCCCAGGTCTCCCAGATCCTAGTCTGACAATCTAACGATAACGCTGTGCTGGAGTTCTACGCATGCGTCAGTTTGGTTAAGACGCTTCCAAATTACCTCCCGGAGAAGGTGTTATTAAGCTGCCAAAGAAGAGAGATAAAGCTTTGGAAACAACTTGAAACATCTGTGAAAAGTGGCAGAGAACCAAGAGGTTTGAGCTGCACGAGATTTCGGAAGTGAGTGATACAAACTGTGTTTATTTTCTTATTTAATCTCCCTGGGTGGAGGCTGCAACAAAAGAAGCAGCGTAAAAATGGCCACTAAGAAGGAATTGAAAGAATTAACACAGCTTATTGCCACCTCAGAGCAAAATGTGAGAGGGGACATTAAAGCTCTTAAATCAGATTTGAGCCACTTGGTACTAGAAGTTAAGAGGATAAAAAGGGTGGCAGAAACTGCATCCAAAAAAGCTGACCTTAATGAGACCAAAATTAAGGAGCTGACTAGAAGATTAGCGTCCATTAACGACCGTCAAAGAAGGAGAAACATTCGCTTATCTGGCATTCCTGAAGATATTATGCAGAAAGACCTTGAAACAAAGATACTTGAATGGTTTGAGGAAAATGGAATAAAAATAGGTCCGGAAGAAATTGAAAGAGTACACAGATCTCTCCGCCCCAAGCCTAGTCTGGGAGCAAAGCCAAGGGACATTATTATGGCATTTGCAAGAGAGAAAACAAGAGACAGTGTTTATAAAAGGTTAAAAACACAGAAGGACTTACAATTTAATGAATATAAAGTAATTATAAGACAGGACCTTTCTCCAGAGACGCTGCAGCAAAGAGGAATGTTAAAACCTTACACTCAAAAACTATTTGAAAATGGAATACTATTTACATGGGGATACCCAGCAGTAATACTGGTATTTAGAGAAGGTAAACTTTTCCGAGCAAAAAATCCAGTAGAGGCAAGGAGAATGCTGGAGAGACTGGGAATCAGTATGACGTCGTTGGAATCAGAAGCTATGGAGGAAGAAGAAGCCCAACAAAGGGAAGCTTTCGACATAACTACATCTAGTAGTGAAGAAGGAGAATCGAGTCAGGCTTTGCAAAGCCAGTCAAAACGTCCAAGAAAGGATGCTAGCTGCTCTTAGATTATAATTGGCACCATATAATGTGAATAGAGATATAAGTTGGTGTTTGAGGTATTTTGTTTGTGTTTAATGTATTTTGAATTATTTGGATCAGAAACAATATAGAATAAGCATGGTGGCTTATATTGAAACTTACATGATTGAAAGAATAAGGGAGGGGGGAATTGGGAACGTAGACCTCAACCAAGTAGCGAAGAGGTCAGGAGGTGTATGCCAACTGTATACCCCTTAGGGGAGGCTCTTCGGGGAGGGGGAAAGGGGATGAGGGGGACCATCGAAGTAATAAAGGATAGACATGAGCAAAGATATAATGAATGTATAGACGAAAATGGTTGAGACATTAAAATTGTTATCTATAAATATAAATGGTTTGGCTTCAGATTTAAAGAGGTACAGATTAAAAAATTTGATTAAAAAACATGGAATAAATATAGTGTGTTTGCAGGAAACCCACAAATCTAAAAAGGATAAAAAACCTTTGTTAAATTCGCCACTGTGGGAAACAAAGGTGGAAGCAAGAGGAACTAAGAAAGCAAGAGGGGTAGCGATCCTTATACATGCTAGTTGGAAGATAGAAGTATTAGATCAAATAGTAGACTTAGAAGGAAGATATGCTTTTCTGAAATTTAAGATGAATAATAGGAAGTTTACAATAGCTTCAATATATGCACCAAATACAGGCCAGGTAAGATTTTTGAATAAGATATTTCAGAAACTGCAGAACTTCTATGAAGGCGAATTGGTAGTGGCAGGAGATGTTAATTATGATTTTAGGAAAAGTAAAACTCTGAAGCTTAAGAAATGGAAATTGAAAGATGCATTTATGTATGGAGGGAAAACGTTACAACCTACATACTTCTCTAATAGATTTAAGAACTTTTCATATATTGATTATGTTTTAGTAAAGGAAACAAATGAGATAGAGGTGGTGAAAACAATAACTGAGCCTATATGGATTTCGGACCATGCTCCTTTGGTAGTTCAATTTAAATTAAGCGAAGAGCGAAAAGAGTTTATTTGGCGATATAAGGCAAATTTGCCTTTAATTGAAGAGGATCGGTTGGACGTAAGGAAAAACATAGAATGTTACTTTAGAGAGAATAGGAACTCAGCCAGGGAAGAAGTAGTTTGGGATGCAGCCAAAGCAGTGATAAGGGGAGTTTATATTGCTAAGGAAATTAGAATTAAAAGAGAAAATAATAAGGAGAGAAGGAGGATAGTAAATGAAATCACGCTAAAACAAAAGGAACTTCAGAGTAACTATAATAGGCAGACTCAGGAATTATTAAAAAAACTTAAAAAAGACTTAGAGAATTTAGATTCTTTGTCTATGTGGAAAAAAGAAATATTAGTAAAAAACGAATATCATAGAATTAATATGAATACAATGAAAAGAATGGCTAATTATCTAAAATCAAGAAAAGAAAAACAAAAAATAGGATGTGTCAAGGGGGATGGGGGGAACCAGCTTTTTAAAAATACCCAGATAAGAGAGGAATTTGCTAAATTTTATCAGCAACTATTTAAATCTGGAGAAAACCAAAAATTTGAGGAACAACTAGATAAGAAGTTAACATCAGAACAGAGAGAAAGACTGAATGAAGAAATTACAAAGAAGGAAATAGCAGAAGTAATAAAAGGGTTAAAAAATAGGAAATCCCCCGGGTTGGATGGGTTCACGGCAGAATATTATAAAGAAATGGCGGAGATTCTGATTCCAGAAATGCAAAGATTATTTAATTATATTCTAAAAGAAGGCAAAATGCCAGACACATGGAAGAAAGCTGAAATTCTACCAATATTAAAACCCCAGAGGGATCCATTAGATATAAATTCATATAGACCAATTAGTCTGATGAAACGATAACGCTGTGCTGGCTCCTCCTGTCAGCCTAACCTACCTCACATGATTGCTGTTGTGAGGTTAAAATGGAGGAGGGAAGGATTATGTTGCAAGTGGTTTCCCAACATGATGCCCTTGTGTGCCATGGTTTCTGCAGGCACTCCTTGAGTGCTTCAGGAAAGTAGGTGGGGCCATTGTGAAGACAGAAGCAGTAATTGGCTGCCTTCATACAAATAAAAGTATTTATTTATTTATTTAGGTTTTTAGGCCACCCTTCCTTGCAAGCAAGGCTCAGGGCGGATTACAACAGAAGAGGATTTTCAACTGGATCCTCCCACCAGTCACCGGAAAAAGATCCATGATCCTTTAACCAAGTCCTGTAGATGAGCTGTGAAGCACTGGCGCTAGGGAGCACCAAAGCATCTTAGGACCCCTTTCTCACCTTAATCTTTTCTTTGTGTGTTTTATCTTCCCGTTCCCCCACTGGTCCTCTTTTTCTGTGTGCATGTTATCTTTCTTTGGGTTTCACTTGTGTGCATTTATATTCCTCATCCCCCTTCCAGTTGTGTATATGTGTGCTTGGCTGTACATCCTGTGGAACCCATTTCGTAGTGATGCCTGCCACCCTGCCTTAAAATTCCAAAGGTGTTCAAAGAGGTTGGGGAGCCCTAAATAAATTAAAAATGATATGCTGAATATCATTTGGGGGGGGGGGGAGATAAAGGTCCCGTGATCTCAAACAGGGTAGTAGTGGAAGAAAGAATACTTTCTCTGTTTTAAAAAAACATGGACCAGCCACGTCCTTTTATGTTAAATAATAGCTGGCACATAAGTGGACTTTCACCATTTAATTAGCTAGGCTTCCTTTTTTCAAGAAAAAATAGATGTGCAGTCTGTCATCTCGGCACTTTGGCAATGTTACCTGGTAACTTCTTTATAGCACAAGATAAAATTAGCCACTTAAAAATCTTATCTTAATGTTTCCCTTCCTGCATATCTCTCTCTCTCTCTCTCTCTCTCTCTCTCTCTCTCTTTCCAAATTTATGAGAAAGAT